GGCCAACCATCGATGCCTAACCTCGTTTCCCAGCAACCGCAAATGGGCACGCGTAACATCACACATATACGGTGGTTGGCCTGGATCCGAGAGCAGTCCCACCGCAACTCTCCTATTGTCGAGGTAAGTTCCTTTTTCCAAACAAAAAAGATTCAATGGCCGCATTTCTCCAGGAGCTTCGATTGTAACCCAAGCGGTTCCTCTTATTACAGCTCAACTTTGTGCATTCAGAAGGTTAATCATCGCTTCAGGGCCAAAAATTGCAATACAAGTCCGAACTCAACGATAAATTCCCAAGAACGGCCTTTTTCCAGTCTTTATCCTCCCCCCCACCTACTCTCTCATATTAGGGAAGCGATGAATCCAAAATCAAAGCAAAGAATCGAGTCTCGAGGGTTTTCATTCATATCTGCATACATTTTTCAAAAAGATTTCTTTTTACTGTACTTCTTTTTTTTGGGTCATACCAAAGATGATGTCCGCCAGGCACCACTGACATTAAAATTGCTAGAACAGATGGAAAGGAGGCGTAAGGAAAGGAAAATCACTCCAGCCAAGGCCAGGGTTACACTGGACATACCGCTATGGGTATGGTATGAGATCGAGTATAGCAGGAATATCTGCCACGTCAATTCTGGTAGTCACACTGAATTGTGGTGATTGCAGGTATTAAAACTTGAACTTGACATAACATTTTTTGCCAAATTCGACGCATGAAAATAAGCAGTAACGAATATAAAATTGAGGAGTATATATTTTTTAAATTGTAAAGCACTTTTCCGCGCAAAAATTTTTTTTTCCACCTGGAGTTCATGCGTTTTTATTTGCTTCTACAAGACCTCGCAGAAATTCGTGTGTCGAGTGTTCGGGCAAGTTTATCATGTTTCCTTCAAGCACTTTCAAGATATTCTGGTTATTGTACATTTGAAAATGTGCACATCGTCATCAAATTTGACATTCAATATTTTTACTCTTATTCTGTTGATTTGAAGAACTCATCGTCTCTGATCAGGAGATTTTTTATACAATAAATGGTTGCAGTGCATATTTCTGAATATTGCCCAATATTGCCATCTCTGCACGGTAGAGGGTAGCAGTGGGATCCCTTTCGTTTCCCCTTCACTAAGGCAGAAATGACAGTGGAAGAAAGAAACCATGTCAATGCAATCTCTGGAGGGGATGGGGAACTGATGCTTTGGAGAACTTCAGCGCGACCTCTAGATATAGAACTTAGTGAGCCACAATTGGTGCAAATAACAAGTTTAGCTTCAGCATTTAATGATTCCCTGAGTCATATATCAGTAAAAATTATGCAATAATTCCATCCTTTCCATACATATATATATTCATGGATTGCATAATAAAAAGTGGAAGGATGACAAAAAAAAAACCTTTTACTACATCAGGAAAGCCAGTACTAAAAAGAATTTGTAAGGTGCAGGGAACATGGGTTCCATCTAGTGAGGTACCGTAACTGGTACTGTAACTGCGGGATGGTCAGTTAAAGGATGGTGTGGTGTTAATTTTGCATGAACTTGATATCGTCTACTACACGTCAGATGGAGTGACGTCTAGTTCATGTCAAATACACGTACACTTTGGTGACTTAAATAGAAGAACTTAAATATTACATGAACGTGATTTTATTTTCATGGCAATCGCAAGAAGTTTACATTGTTTGCAAAAAATTGATACCTTCTGCTGCTTGGGAAAAGTGATAAATACTTGGTGTGGGGCTGGCCTCTTCTCGACTCAACTAATATCGCGGAGATTAGGACAGTCTGTCTCTTCTTTGAAGACAAAGGCGAAAGAGCGAAAGGAATCCATCCCAGAGCATTAAATACCCCGGACGCGCGGCCTCCATCGGGCCTTGTCAACCGTCGTAAACATCTCCCTCCAACCTCTGTTCCCAACTGAATTGCGAGTAACACACGCACCATTGACGTTCTGTGACCTCTCCATTGAGCCCCTAAATACCTCACATTCACCACGTTCCTATTGGTGATTCCTACGCATAATCGGTCGTCGCTTTTTCCCCCCATCTGCAATGTGAGTGAATCATAGGATGGAGACTGATATTGGGTGAGTACACGATACCATCTCTCATGCATCCAAGAAATGTAGAATGCTGCAGATAGCATGTAAGATTTCCTGCATCTTCAAGGACTCGGGAAAAGAAACCGTTTAATAACTGCTGAATAGGTATTGTTCTAAATCACTGATGGTACAGATCGGAAAATGGGGTTTTGATGCCTTCAAGACTATCGATACAGCGTCAATCTCAAAATGCCACGCCACTCTTAACTCGGCGAGTTTGAGGGAGGTTAATATTGAGATGATGCAAGTGAACATTGCATTGCACATTTTCATTTCCATGGAATATTTCATTTCTGAGAAGCAATATATCTAAGTCCCATCACTTCTCGCCGTCCAAGGGAGGTGCAGGAAGGGACTATTTCATGCCCACAGCAGCTGACGCTGCGAGGCAGCCTTCTGCACGATATAAAACGAGGAAGGTGGATGGCAAAGTACTAGTATAGGGTAAGTTGGGCCAATGTGATCATGGGTGAACTGTATCCATAGAGGTACATTTAATCCAAGAATTCCACGTGCTTCAAAGTGGCGAAGATCATATTTTGCAAACATCTAGCACTGAAGCTAGATCACTTGCGTCAATCGTCATGGGCTGGCCGAACCGACTCCATATATGCCAGAGATCTGGTTTTCAGGCGTAATCGTCAATTACTAGCCAGGATTTCCTGCCTGATATAAATTTCTATTTTAATTTTTTCCATTGTACCCGTGGTGATTTCGTGGGGAGTATAGGAAATAATTTGCGCTCAAAGGGTTTATATAGGACATCGGGACATCTTCTGACAGTCCCAATTTTCGTCTGCCGCTGCTAATTCAAGGCAAGAAGGGGAAGACACAAGGAAAGTCTGCAGCTGGAGCCCCCGCTTCCACCGCATGGAAAGGAGATGTATGCACGAATGCTTCGTCTCACGTATCTTCTAGACTACGTGGGTCATCACTGCTCGATTTCTCGACCACTACGAGTCATTATTTCTGACATGTTACAGGAGGAACCGAGGGCTAATGATGTCATTCTCATTTACTTGGACACCTCCACAAACGGGAGAGGGTTTCTAGTCTCACAATAACACGATTCCGAGACTCTAGTTACGTTTCGAATGGGAACGGGAATAGCACGTCGTAGGAACACAGCAGGAGAGGTTGAAGCAAAGTATTCTGGCATCTGCCCCACCGGCCGTTTAGCGTTAGGAAAAATTTGTTTTCGGGAATGGAAAGTGAGGCGAAAGTGAGCGCTCAAGAACCAATAGGACTCTTATGGGTATATGATCATTCCAATCGAGAAGGAAGTGATGGAATAGGTGAAACTGGGAGTCATTTAATGGTTACCGGCTGTGGAATTACATTCTATTCCGATTGCACCGCTAAAATTTCCTAACTCTTCGATTCCCGGGAGTGAAAGATGAATGAATCAACGCCACCAACGATATTTTCGTTCTGACTGTACCCTACCATAGTTTCCCCATAAACAAAAGCCAAATATTTCATTTGCCTATTCATACTAGACCCACTAAATAAGTTACTGTATTTTTCCCCCAGGCAGGGACAACGACCTCTACGATGGAAACTATTATCAATCATTCCGGTTGTTCCGTTTGCCGAGTACCAGTATAAATGGAGAAGAAAATTACGAGCATTGCAATCTCGTCACTCGTCAGTGTCACCGTCGTGTTTCAGTTAGAGAAATGTAGATACGCAACTAAACTCTTCTTGAACGACTTGAAGGCAGCCTGTCCCTCCAGAGCTAAACCCGTCTAGCACAGCGTAACGAATCCCAGCCTCCCCTGCCCATCCCCAGCGTTTCTCTTCAGAAAGCTCCCAGTCCACCTGAACTCGTCGACCTACCAACCTTCCATCACCTCCCTTCTATCAGAGAATCCCTTCTATCCCCTCCCCTCTATCTCCATTCCAACCTCCGTTCACAACTGAATCGTTATGGGCAGACAACGCGTTTCATTTTTTTTCTGTCATTCTGCAACCTCTCCACTGACCCCCTTAAATACTCAAAATGGACATAAAAACACTCATTAGGCCACGATAAAAGACCAACGGTACCGGGCGAGGGATTAGATTTGAAGGAATTCCGACCCACACCAGTTGGTGCAGGGAAGTGCATGACGAACCTGAGAACGTTTTCTTAATCGCGATGAAAATAATCCTTTCCAACTTGACATTCTGTTGCCCCTTCAATAAGCTTCAACGTCTCTTCAATAAGCTGCCGCTTTTACATGGAGTAGGACATCATCCCCAGGTCTTCTGTTCCCAGGTTCAGGTCCCGATGTTCCTCACTGTCTAGGGATCGATTCCGGCATCCCTGGCCAAATTCCTGAAGGATCTGTGGGGTTGTAGTCAATCTCGTTCTGGATAATCTTGATTATCTCTGGGGTGCGGACGGTCCTTTTTTTCCCACCCCTGGGCCTGGACTGACCACTGCCATACTTCTCGGTTGATGGTCTTGTAGACCATGTCACAGGTGGCCTTCAGGCTCTTCCATTCCTTCACGATGTCCACTGGGAGGTTTCCAGCCTTCCCATCAAATGGAAGGAAAGAGATACGATAAATATAGATATATAAATATAGATAAATATAGATAAATATAGATAAATGACAATCTCCCTATCGGAAATAATCTCCGTTTTGGCTAAATTCTAAGTCTCAACCGCGCCACTTGACGACCGAACTCCTTAGCACTGCCCCAGCTACGTTTCCCTGCCCTCACGCACGGTGAGCCGCCGTATCGGCGGTACCGTTCCCGCCCTATACGACCTTCGGCTGAGCACCCTTACCCTTCTCCCAAATCCGGAACTGACCAGCGCACTTGGTCCCCAGCAACCTTGTCATCCTATGAGGGGTGATGGATCAGGGACATCCGAGACCCTGAGGGAGACAACGACGAGCGACCTCCATTGGAAGAGACACCGACATCAGTCGAAGACCTCGTCCCCAAGCTCATACAGCGGCCCTGAACTCGAATAGGCCGAAACCACAACGACTGACTTCCCCCTCTGTATGCCCTGAGTTTGAACGAAAGGAATATACGTTTAGTACTGCTGACTTTCATTCACTTTTCTGAGTACTCCCCTACACGAGACACCGTGTGTCCGGACACACGGTGTCTTGGGGGCTCCACTTCTCCCTTCTGTGCGTATGCGACGGGTAAATGAATACTTGGCCAGCGCCCGACTTCTTCAACCAACCAATTCTTGACCTGCAAAAGTAAAAACACTTCATTCCCAATGGTGTTTCGAGCATCTGAAGAAGCACCAATTTAGAACACAAGAGAAGTACTCACCGAAAGCCGGACGAGAGAGGTAGACCCCCGACGAAGCTCTATGACGTCTAACTGGCATCCCGCACGCTTTTTAAACCCTTGTTCCTTGCCACTCCCCCCACACACCCATTATTCCCGACCACCAACCCCCCCCCCACCCCCCCCACCCATTCCTGATCTCAAGGACACGATCCTGTCTCTTTCCTTGGGAGATATGCATCTGCCTTCCAGCCATTTTCCAACCGCCTTTCAAGCGTGTTCCATATGAACCTCCATCTAGTAACACACGCACCATTGACGTTCTGTGACCTCTCCATTGAGCCCCTAAATACCTCACATTCACCACGTTCCTATTGGTGATTCCTACGCATAATCGGTCGTCGCTTTTTCCCCCCATCTGCAATGTGAGTGAATCATAGGATGGAGACTGATATTGGGTGAGTACACGATACCCTCTCTCATGCATCCAAGAAATGTAGAATGCTGCAGATAGCATGTAAGATTTCCTGCATCTTCAGGGACTCGGGAAAAGAAACCGTTTAATAACTGCTGAATAGGTATTGTTCTAAGTCACTGATGGTACAGATCGGAAAATGGGGTTTTGATGCCTTCAAGACTATCGATACAGAATCAATCTCAAAATGCCACGCCACTCTTAACTCGGCGAGTTTGAGGGAGGTTAATATTGAGATGATGCAAGTGAACATTGCACTATACATTGCACATTTTCATTTCCATGGAATATTTCATTTCTGAGAAGCAATATATCTAAGTCCCATCACTTCTCGCCGTCCAAGGGAGGTGCATGAAGGGACTATTTCATGCCCACAGCAGCTGACACTGCGAGGCAGCCTTCTGCACGATATAAAACGAGGAAGGTGGATGGCAAAGTACTAGTATAGGGTAAGTTGGGCAATATGATCATAGGTGAACTGTGTCCATAGAGGTACATTTAATCCAAGAATTCGACGTGTTTCAAAGTGGCGAAGATCATATTTTGCAAACATCTAACACTGAAGCTAGATCACTTGCGTCAATCGTCATGGGCTGGCCGAACCGACTGCATATATGCCAGAGATCTGGTTTTCAGGCGTAATCGTCAATTACTAGCCAGGATTTCCTGCTTGATATAAATTTCTATTTTAATTTTTTCCATTGTACCCGTGGTGATTTCGTGGGGAGTATAGGAAATAATTTGCATTTACATAGGACATCGGGACATCTTCTGACACTACCAATTTTCGTCTGCCGCTGCTAATTCAAGGCAAGAAGGGGAAGACACAAGTCTGCAGCTGCAGCCCCCGCTTCCACCGCATGGAAAGGAGATGTATGCACGAATGCTGTATGCACGAGTGCAATCGGAATTCTATTCCGATTGCACCGCTAAAATTTCCTAACTCTTCGATTCCAGGGAGTGAAAGATGAATGAATCAACGCCACCAATGATATTTTCGTTCTGACTGTATCCTACCATAATTTCCCCATAAACATTTCCCCCAGGCAGGGAAACTATTATCAATCATTCCGGTTGTTCCGTTTGCCGAGTACCAGTATAAATGGAGAAGAAAATTACGAGCATTGCAATCTCGTCACTCGTCAGTGTCACGGTCGTGTTTCAGTTAGAGAAATGTAGATACGGAACTAAACTCTTCTTGAACGACTTGAAGGCAGCCTGTCCCTCCAGAGCTAAACCCGTCTACCACAGCGTAACGAATCCCAGCCTCCCCTGCCCATCCCCTGAGTTTCTCTTCTTAAATACTTGGACAGCGCCCGATTTCTTCAACCAACCAATTCTTGACCTGCAAAAGTAAAAACACTTCATTCCCAATGGTGTCTCCAGCATCTGAAGAAGCACCAATTTAGAACACAAGAGAAGTACTCACCGAAATCCGTACGAGAGAGGTAGACCCCCGACGAAGCTCTATGACGTCTAACTGGCATCCCACACGCTTTTTAAACCCTTGATCCTTGCCACTCCCCCCACACACCCATTCTTCCCCACCACCAACCCCCCCCCCACCCATTCCTGATCTCAAGGACACGATCCTGTCTCTTTCCTTAGGAGATATGCATCTGCCTTCCAGCCATTTTCCAACCGCCTTTCAAGCGTGTTCCATATGAATCTCCATCACGAATTTCACACTCTCGGATACCAGCAAGTGCCAGCCTTCCTAATTCCATTTCTATCTTCACAAATTTAGGAACATTATTAATACCCATGCAGGAAGTACGGGCGAGACAAATTCCTCTCTCTTCAACAATTCCCTAGGAGCTCATTCATTGTATGTCGACTCCTAAAGGTCTCCCCATCGGGTCTCGCTCGACCCAATGACACCAATCGGCATGCGCACTCTTGGGACTCTCTCTCTTAGAAAATGAAAAAAGCAATCACGAAACATGAATCGCAATGGATTCTTAATGCTAGAACAAGGGTTGGCGCCGAGATTTTTAATGCATCTTTTCCTTAAAAACAAAAAATTCGGGGATTCAGGATAGAGATGAACCGAACCGGTTATGTAATAATTCAATGAATCATAACTAAGCAGAGAAACAATCACACGAGTGGAAACCAAAGGAAATAAAGGAAACAAGTAAGTAACTTTCCATGAATGGAATTGGGAGAAGCAGCAATGCGTTCCCACAATTCTTTCAAAGATTAAAAAAAAAACCCTTTTCATGCGAATATTGACAATGATACTGCAAATCTTGCTGACTGGTTTGTGTCGTTTTCATAGGGGCAATGTCGAAACCCCATATAATTCCTGAACGCGAGAAGGGAATTATCATTCTTTCCCCTCCGTCTCAGCCTTTCTTCAATTATTAGGAATATGCCTTTCTTGCACTTAGTGTCTCGAACATTCAAGGCAGAACTTCACGGCTCCGGTTTTTCAATTAAGATGAAGAATTGGTAACTCCAATACTAATTCCTTTTTTCAGTTAACTTTTCCTGAACTGCTCGATATCAGATTCACTGACATTTTATCGCTTTGAAAAATGTTCTGAGCTCGCGATGGAAACGGCCGCCGCGTTGGCAAATTAAACAAGTCAGTGAATATTTCCTGTCGGTTCAGATTTTAAAGCAATGATGCCCTTAAATGCATATTTTACACATTCAACACGTTCATATGGGTTATTCCTACGCATACTCGGTGGTCGCTCTTTCCCCCATTTGCAATGCGAGTGAATCATAGGTTCGAGACTGATAGTGGGTGAGTACAAGATTCCCTCTCTCATGCATC